AATAATGAGTGTAACTGTACTGTATACCTAAAATGTACCAATAAACTCAATGAAAAAATAAATTGGGGGGGTTTCTATAATTTTTTTTGAGTTATTTATGTATTCAAATTGTTAGTCCTATGTCTTGGGGATAGCTGGTGAAAAGTTTTTTCTCATTTTGTAAGTTGTCTCTGTGCAGAAACCTCTCCCCCTTACCAGGGATCAAACTCAGGACTTTGTGCTTGTCAGACAGGTGCAGTGCCACTGGCATCACTGAGCTACATCCCTGGCCCATACAGAAGCTTTTTAATTATTTTTTTTTTAAATTTTTTTGGTACCAGGGATCGAACTCGGGTCCTTGCGCTTGCGAGGCAGGTGACAGAACCACTGAGCTAAATCCCTGGCCCAGAAGCTTTTTAATTTGATGTGATCGCAGTTATTGATTCTTTGCACTATTTCCTATGCAACTGAGTTTTTGTTCATAATTCTTTGTCTAAACCTGTCATTCAGGAGTTTTAGCTATTCTGTCTTCCAGCACATTAAGTATTTCTATTTTTATATTTAGACCTTTGATCCATTTCAATTTAGGTTTAGTATATGGTGAAAGATAGGGTTTAGTTTTAATTTTTGCCATGTAAAAAACTATGTAGCACTATTTATTAAAAAGGTTGTCTTTCAGTGAAGGTATTTGGCCCCTTTGTCAAAGATAAGGTAGTTGAGTATGCTTGGAGTTGTTCCTCATCTTTTATTCTGTTCCAGTGATCCTTGGTCCATTTTTTTTTTGCCAGTACCATGCTGTTTTTATCACAGTAGCTTTGTGGTATAACTTCAAATTGGGAATTGTGATGCCCCCTGCCTTGACTTAATTACCCAAATTGCTCTTGCTATTCTAGGTCCCTTCTGGTTTCATATGAATTTTAGAATTATTTTTTCTACTTCTATGAAGTATGCTATTCGTATTTTGACTGGGGTTGTATTAAATCTGTGTAACAGTTTTCAAAGTATGGCTGTTTTCACTATATTGGTTCTTTTTTTTGGTACCGGGAATTGAACTTGGGTCCGCTTGCAAGGCAGTCCACCGAACTGCTGAGCTAAATCCCCGGCCCTTCACTATATTGGTTCTGCCTATCCAAGAACAAAGGATATCTTTCTGTTTTCTGATAGCCTCTTCAATCTCATTTTCCAGATTACTTTAGTTTTCAATGTATAGGTCTTTCACGTCTTTGTTAGATTAATACCAAAGTATTTCATTTTTCCTAATGCTATTGCAAAAGGTGAGTTTCCCTCATTTCTCTCAAAGTGAGTTTGTATTCATGTACAGGAATGCTATTGATTTTTTTTTTTTTGGTACTGGAGATCAAACCTAGCTAGAATCTTGTGCTTGTGAGGCAGACAGCGAAACGGCGGAACCACTGAGCTACTGAGCTAAATCCCTCACCTTGCTATTGATTTCTGAGTAGTGACTGTGTATCCTGCAATACTGCCAAATTTGGTTATTAATTCTAGGAGTGTTCGTGGAGTTTTTGGGGTCTTCTACATAGAGTATCATCAATAGATAATTTAACTTCTTCCTTCCTGTCCATATTCCTTGATTTCTTTCTCTTGTCTAATTGCTCTGGCTAATGTTTCCAAAACTATATTGAATAGGATTGATGGTAGCAGGCATATTTGCCTTATTCCTGATTTTAAAGTAAAAGCTTTCAGTTTTTAACTATTTAGTATCATGTCAGCTATTGATTTGTAATAGATGGCTTTTGCCAGATTGAGACAAAAACCTATTCCAATTTTTCTGTCGAGTTTTTTTAAAATCATGAGTAAGTTTTGGAGTTTTTCAAAGGCTTTTTCTTCATCTATTGAGATGATCATGTAGTTTTTGTCCTTGGTTCTGTTAATGTGGTGTTTTGCATTTACTGATTTTGTGTATGTTAAACTATCCCTACATCCCTGGATGAATCTTATTTGATCATGGTATGTGATCTTAGTGATGTACTGCATGGTGATGCCAGTATCTTATTGTAATAACACTATACTAAAGTTTAGATTATTGTACCAGATTAGCAAATTTATAAAATACTTCAGTAGTAGAATTATGTGTGTTGCCTGATTTTTTTAAGATGTCAAGGCCAACATGTCATGGTCCAAAATTTTACATTTCTGGTCATATAGTTTCTTATGCTGTAAGTAATCAAATTTATACTTTGTAGCACTTACAGTAATATTTTAAGTCTTCTTTTATGTCCCTACCATGGCAATTTGAAGCAAAAAAGGGGAACAGAAAATTAAACTCCCATAATTTGACTTTAAGAGTTGTCCTTTTGACATGTATATCTCCTTCTTTGTCCCCAAACCCTTGTTATTATTACTGTTTTTGAAAAAGAAGAAAATGGATTTTTTTTCTTTTCCAGCTTCCCTAGATTTGTATGCCTTTTAGTTTTTATCATGTCCCTGTGTCTCCTATATTTCTTCTAAGCTGGTATTTGGGTTCAAAGCCTTGATCTTTTTTTTAATCATCAGCAAAAACATGTTATTGCTGGTGTGTATATAACATAGTACTTTTAGTTTAAAAACTGAGCGGGGTGTTTTCCATTTTAAATTTTCTTTAAAGCATCATCTTATACTAAAACAGGGCAAAATTAACAGAAAGATGTTTATAATTATGGCTACTAGATGTCTTCTACCTATTCTTTATATTATTTGTGCCATCCAATAAAGATCATTGTTACCTCTGTTGTGTCCTTTTGATTCCTGGATAATCCAATCTCAAAATATGTTGATGCTCTTTAGTTTTAGAGATAAGTAGAAGTGATTCTTACATTTTATGATGTATTGTTTTTAAAGCTCTAAAAGTTTATATGGGAAATTATACTTCTTTACCTGTGTTACAGTTTTTATTATACTTGTTGAGCAACCTTACATTTAAAGAGCTTACTTTCTTGGCAGACAATAGACAGGATTTGTTTTTTAAAACTGTATTACTTTAATTTTATATAATTTCAAAAATTTCTTATTATTAATTTTTGAATGTCTCTTTTAAGAACAGGGGAAAATTATTATGTATCACTGGTTTGGTTTGGTTTGGTTGAGATAGGATCATACTGTGTAGTCCAGACTGGCCTTGAACATACTGTGTAGCCAAGACTCACTTCAAGCTTTAGCAGTACTTCTGCTCACTTTCCTGAGTGCTGAGATTACAGGTGTGCACCCCCACTCCAGGCTCACTTTTTTTCTAATAGGCCTGTGAAATAGATTTTTATATTCTGGAAGTTGTTATTGAGAACATGTTGAATAACACATCCTACATTTCTGGTACTGGGCAGGCTGTTTTGTACCACACTATCTCAGACATCATCCTGCAGAATTGCTTTGTCAAATAGTCCCCTTCTTGGACAGATGAAGGCTGACTGAAGAGATGGCTTTTGTACTTCTTTGATGTCATTATTCTTAGAGACATTTTGAGGATGCCTAAAAAACTCTATAGGGGAATTAACTTTCAGCTTTAAACAAGTAATGTACAAAACATATTTTCATTCTATTCTTGCCCTCACCAAATTTTCTATCCATCTTCTATGTAATGCAGCATTTTCTAAGTGTAATATATCTAAGAACCTGATTTTTCTTGGATTACCCCCCCACACACTTGTTAACATCTTGAAAACATAACAAGGAATGAGTTTGGAAAGTGTATATTATTCTGAGTTTTGTATGTAAAATGTGTGTGTACACACACACATACACACTCAGTGGACTCTCAAGTTACAACCTGCCTGACATGAACAATTTGGGTTATGACTAGAATTTTAGTTTTAACTTATGATCAACATCTTGAATTATGACCTGAATACCAGCCACTTATGCTTCCAGATGGCCTCAAATACAGATTTAACCCTTAAAGACTTCTGGAAGGACCATTACAACATTCTTTCCTGTGTGGAGTTAATTGAGAAACCTTAACCTGGGCCAGTGTCTTTATAAGGACACTGAGATTTACCTGTATATAGGAGAGAGACTTTGAAGGCTGTGTAAAGGAGCCTGAGCTTTCAGTTGACCAAGTTGAGTTAGAACCAGCCCTCGGAAACTGAAATTAGTAAGACAAGGGTCCACTGTATATCACAATATAACATTACTTTTGTTTAGAATTATCATTCATACTGTTCTACCTTTGTAAACCTTGTAAAATGTCTACTATTGTCAAGTGTAGGATTTTCATCTTGACTTATTTTCAGTGGTAGGTTTACTGACATATTAATTCAGCATATAATTACAGAGCTCCTATAAAGCACTATGTTAGGGCCAGGGATTGAGCTCAGTGGTTCTGCCACCTGCCTTGCACTATGTTAGACTCCGAAGAAGAATGAATCAAACCCCAACCGAAAAGACATTGTATTCTAGTGTGGGAAGGTTGTGTAACAGGTGTAGCAATCATTAAGCCATAGGAATTAATTAGAAACATAAGAGTCCTAGGTAACATGTGGTAGCCAAGAATAGCAAATGATTACTATAGAAAGATTCAGAAAAGCTGCAGGCAATAAAAGCCAATTTAGTTGGGTTTAAAGATAAATTGGGGTTTTATATGGGAATGATAGGAATGGGAAGGGGATGTCAGGAAGAGGAAATGTGTGAACAAAGAAATAAAAGCAAGAGAACGTGAGGCACATTTGGAGGAACGTGAGTGGCCATTGGACTGAATGATGAAATACTTGATGGGTGATAGAGGAGCACTTAGCAGGTGATAGATTTGGAAAATTAGGTTAAATTCTATGTTAGGTTTATGACAATAAAGGTTGTGTTTCAGGAAGGTTAATGTGATATTTGAGATGGGAGGTCAAAGCTATGCAGTAATTCAGATGACTAGGACATGATGGGGAAGTCTTGAGTTGGATTATAAATGTGAAAATAGAGGACAGTGTGCAGCCCCTTGGAGGTTTTAGACTGGGGGAGGGCAGGCCTAGAAGTGGCTCTTGTTGAAAAGATGTGAATCAATTGCTGTGAGATTGTTAGTTAAGTTTTCTCCTTATTTTTAGTTCTAGAGCCAGTACAAAAGCCTCATGAAGGTCCTGGAGAAATGGGGAAACCAGTCGTCATTCCTAAAGAGGATCAAGAGAAAATGAAAGAGATGTTTAAAATCAATCAGTTCAATTTAATGGCAAGTGAGATGATTGCACTCAACAGAAGTTTACCAGATGTCAGGTTAGAAGGGTAAGTACCTTGTGTGCTCCTACTAGTAATTGAATGAAAAGTATGGGTTGAATGAATTGCCAGTAAATTGCACATTAGTGCTGGTGGTTCCTTAAAAGTGGATGATACATCACTTACTGTTTACTGCCTTTAAAGCATAATTAAATGCTGTTAAATATCTCAAGACATTAATGGTCTAATAATTATTATTTCAGGCATTGGAAATAGTTCTTTATATTGTTGTTTTTGTTGTTTTCTGGTACTGGGCATCAATCTCAGGACATTGTGCTTGCAAGGCAGGCGGTGGCACCACGGAGCTAAATCTCCAGCTGAATATTTCTTTATATTAATGGATTAGTGGGGCATGTTAAACTTCATTACTACCAAAATATTCATGCATTCAACTTTTTAGAAAAAGATTCAAGTTGTATGTAACTTGAAACAGTGAAATAGTCGTTTTATTTTTTTAATTCATTAAGTTTATTGGTACATTTTAGGTACACAATACGATGGCATGCATCGCTGGGAATTTGTTACCTTTACATGATATACCTTGGTTCTTATTTTTTCCCCATTCCTCTGCCCTCCCTTAAACCCCTTAAACCCTCCCTATTTGCAAAGGCTTTGTTTTCATTTATTTCTTATCTCATATTTTTTCCTTTTCCCTGTCTTCCCTAGTTCCTCTTCCACCTTGCCCCTTTTCTTCCTTTTTCACATTATCTATAATATCTTTTAGCCCTTATTTACACTTTCAGTTTCTCACACCAGAGAAACTATTCAGTATTTACACATTTGTGTCCTATATATTTCACTTAAGAGTGTGGCCTCGGTGTATATCCATTTATCTATAAATATCTCTGGTTTCTCACTCTTCACAGCTGATTGCAGTACTCCATTTTAATTAAAAAAAAAAAAAAAAAACAGGGGCCAGGGATTAGCTCAGTGATTCTGCTGTTTCCCTTGTAAGTGCAAGGTCCGGAGTTCGATCCCCAGTACCGTAAATAAATAAATAAAAATTTAAAACCACATCTTCTTTATCCAGTCCCCAGTTGATGAGCAATTTGGGGTTTCCAAATTTTAACTATGAACTGTGCCACTATAAGCATGGCTGCACATATATAACTGGTATGATTCTTTTCATTCTTTTGGGAAGATAGCAAGGAAGTAGCTGAGTCAAGTGGGACCTCTGATCCTAGTTTATTGAGGTATCTCCATATTGATTTCCACAGTGGTTGCACCAACCAGTATCCTTGAAGTCAGATAAATCTGTGCTCATGGCAATAAAAGTATGAAATCTGACCCACAGTGTTACATCTTCATTGGAGAGGTCCATCATATATCCCATTTGTCTGTTTTCTCTTTTTGTAACTCTTATTAGCCAGTACTTAAGTACATTGAAAAAAATACTTTTTCTTTATAATGTGAATACTGCATATTTAAATTTATGGGGGGGTATGGTTAGATTTATGCTTAGCTGAAATTATATGGCCCAAAATATATACAATTAAAAAAACAAAAGATAGAAAACCAATGAACCAGCAAAGCATGGTGGACACATGCCTGTAATCTCAGCACTCTGGGAAGTTGAGGCAGGAGAATTGCAATTGAGCACAACCCAGGCAATTTAGCAATTTTATCAGACGCAGTCTCAAATAAAATTAAGGGTGGGGATGTAATTCAGTGCAACAAGGCCATGTGCTTAATCCCCTGAGATGGGGTGGGGGAGGTCGATTTTAAGAAATTAGATTTAAAAAACCAGCAAAATTGAACTCAGAACAATAAAGGAAAAGGAAAAGACTGAAAGCCAGGTGTGGCGATGCATGCCTGCAGTCTCAGCACTCAAGAAGCTGAGGTTGGAACATTGCCAGTTCAAGGTCAGCCTGAGCTACGTAAGCTGGCCTAAACTGTAGAGTGAAAACCTGCCTCCAGTACATAAATAAATAAAATAAAATAAACAACAAAAAAAGTCTTTTGAAAACTGCATAAATAGTAAGTAAAATACATGGTAGAAAAACAGCAAGGCCAAAATTTGATTTATTGAAAAAAATATATAAGGAATAGAAAAGGTGGCCATTTCATGTCCAGATCTGAAAAGATAACATATACAAGGAGCAGAAAATAAAATACAGATATTACAGAAAATAAGATAAAATGAAAACATAAAATATAAAGGCTCAGAAAGCTGAAAGTTCTTTGAGTGAAAAGAGCTGAGAAAATTGAGAAATGTTTTCCTAAAGAGCAAATATCAGCCAGACATGGTGGCACACACTGTCATGCGAGCACTTGGGAGGTTGAGGCAAGAGGGTCACAGCCAGTTGGAGGCCAGCCTGGGCTAGTGAGCTCAAGACTAGCCTGAACTACCTAGTGTGAGACCCCGTCTCCAAAAGAAAAAGAGAGCAACTATTGGGAATGAAAAGAGGGTATCACTATATATATCCTGCAGCCATTTAAGAGATTATAAATGGATTATGTGAGGTATCTGAAATAATCTGTTTAATAGAAACAGAGAAAAGAATGTTAGTTTCCAGGTGTTTGGGGCAGGGAACAATGAGAAGTTGCTCATCAGCAGACAAAGTTTTAGTTGTATGAGGTTGTAAGTCCTAGAGATCGGCTGTACAGCGTTGTGCCTGTAGGTGGCAGTGCACTTAAAAATCTGTTGAAAAGGTAGAGAGAATGTTTTTTTGTTTGTTTGTTTTTTACTGCAATAAAAGTAAGATTATAAGTGGTATTAAAAGCAAAATTACCTCATTTAAAAATTTAGATAAAAATGCTAGTTCCTACAAAAAATGTAACTGACATAAGAGGACAAAACAGATTGTACATTTCCTCATACCATGTGTATATCTTTTCCTTTGTTTTAAGATAGCATAAAAAAACATAGCATATAGTACAGTGTTTTTGTATGTTGATAATAACCATCCAACAGGAAAAATTTGAAAGGGAAGAAGTTTTATACCAAGAGACTCGAATGTGAGTAGGTGAGAATGGATGTAGTTGGCATTAGATAAGAACAAGGATAATTCAGGCATAGTAGCAGGAAAAAAAACCACTATATTTGTGATCCCCCAGATATGTACAGGATTGTATGTTTTGATGACACTGGTGATTCTTTTTTGGTGAAATTAGAAACAAAATTTCTAACAAGGATAGTGGGAGAGGTTGGAAGTCTATGGTAGATGTGGAACAGTTTGAAGAAATTAATTAGGAAGTTAGTACTGCTGGGGAATACTGGAGCCGATTTATGTTTTGTGGTTGTAAACTTGAGACTACTCAGCATGGTCAGAGGTTCTCTTTAACCAGTACAGCAACTCAAAGATACAAAACTAGTGCAAAGTTAGATTGAGCAAGAGTTTCATAAGTTTGACCTAGGAAGTCTAGTTTTATTATCCTTTAAAATTTTTCCCTCCTTTGCTGATAGTTGCAACCAAAAAAGCTGTTATTCTAATTTTATTCCTTTAGCAGTGGCCCTGGGCAGTTGTATTTGTCTGTCGGTATGTATATTTAATGTACTTATCAACATACTGAGTGCACAGTAATAGACTTCTGATTTGAGCATTCATATTCTTCAGTGCTGAGACATTCCTCAAATACTGCTGTTTCACCATTCCCACCAATCTGCTATTCTGCCCCTATTTGTATGTATATATTGGACCTTCTCTTTTTCTCCCTTTATTCCTTTTCAGATTGTCTCTAAGATTAATTTTTTGTTAATATCGTGGTAGTGCCAAAGTCCATGTTTGTCTGTGCCATTTACTACCTTTGTATTACCAGAATTTTTATACTTCAAAATCTTTACCTGAAAGGCTGGGCGTGGTGGCGCATGCCTGTAATCCCAGCACTTGGGAGGCTGAGGCAGGAGGATCGCTATGAGTTTGAGACCAGCCTGGGCTGCATAGTGAGTTCCAGGTCAGTCTCAACTACATAGTGAGACCCTGTCTCAAAAAAACTAAAAAAATAAATAAATAAAAAACTTTACCTGGAAAATTGCCAGGTGTGGTAGCACACGACTGTAATCCCAGCACTTGGGAGGCTGAGGCAGGAGGATCATTGCAAGTTTGAGACCAGCCTGGGCTATATAGTGAGTTCAGGGCCAGCCTGAACTACAAAGGTAGACACTGACTCCAAAAAACAAAACAAAAAAACACAACAACTAAGAGGAAAATAACAAGGGTAAGTAAGAGGACTCATAATCTACTTTGAATACTTTCTGGATTTAGAGAGGTATTTGAATACTAGGCCATAGAAAGGCCTTGGTTCAGAGACTGAGCTGTATCTCCCAGAGTGATTCTCAGGAGAAACTACCTCCCAATGGGCTTTTTCCTTTTTACTTTTTCTGATCCAGCCTGCCTTCCAAAGTACATTTACAATGAAATGTTAAGTGAGAAATACAAATAAGCATCAAATTATCCTCACACAAAGCTAGGCAAACCTGATCAGCATGTGCTTTGCAGACCATTTCCCCAAGGTGAAAGGACAGTGCAACAGCCACTAGAGTGTGACTTTTTCACCTCTTTTTTTGAATTCCCAAAAGCCCCCTTTAATTTTTTTGTTTTGTTTTGTTTTTTTATTGAGTTTATTGGTACTATTTAAGTATACAGTCAGTTACGTTCACCATTGGGATCTTGTGCCTTTACATGATAAAGCCCTCTTTGTTTTAGGGCATGCACTGCTCTGTTGGTGGAATAGCTGGCTGTGTTCATATCATCTTGTCTGCCAGGAATGTTTACTACCTTGTAGGGTCTCCAGGGGAATGTTTCCTGAAGGAAATCAGATAAGATGACACTATCTCACTGTTAAGAGTAATTAAGTAGAGTGCCAAGGATTTAGCTCAGTGTTTCTGCCACTTGCCTTCCAAGCTCAAGGACCCAAGTTTGATCCCTGGTAGCAAAAAAAAAAAGAATAAGTAGAAGTAACTATCATTGAATAACTTTTGTGATGTGTGATCCTTCAGAAGGAGATTTAAGACAAGTTCCAAGTCATTCAAGATGCCATGTCCATCCCATATAACTAATTGTAGATGT